TATTTTACAGAAGCGTACAGATGAATACTTTTTTTTGAATATTTAGCATCACCTATATTAAAATATACATATGAAATTGTTTTAAAAATATTATAACAAGAAGATACTATTTAAATAATTTTTTTGGCAAAAAATGAAGAAATATGAGACATTTTCAAAACATTTCCCTTTGATGGTAAATGCTTCTATATTAATATTTTGCCTATATATATCTTTGACTCACTGGTGTAGTGACTTCGGAGTATGTCCTGAAGAGGCCCTGTATCAAAATTCCTCAGAGGACCATTTATGAGTAAGTAGACCAAACGTCCTCCTTTAGGGAGGACAGTCCTCCTTTTATAGGTTCTGTCCTTCCTCGAAAAGTGCCCTCCTTTTCAATATTTTAAAAATGATCTGATAATCTCTGTATTCAGAGATGAACCAAACATGTTTCCAACATGTCGAAGAATGGGCTAAAACAAATATTACAGGAAATAACAATTTCCCCACGGGGTTTTTTGACTTCATCACAAGAAAATTGGGCAGATATATAAAACTGTGTTGATTTTTTTATCAAAAGAAATGCGTGATATTAAAATCGTTGACAATGGTTTGTTTGATGAAATTGGAAGAGAAGACTGTGAATGTACATTTACATTATAATAAATTGAAACAATTGGAACATCAACATGCTGAAATTGATAAAAGATGTGTGGAAATACTTAACCATTTCAAAAATGAACACATTCCATATAAAAATTTAGTTATTCTTTTTGAATTTACGTTGTTCTTCCCTGGAACTAATGCAGCAGTTGAAAGAGTTTTTTTCCAGTTGGTAATGATTTTTGTGAAGTGACTAGTGAGAAATCAAAATTGAATGTTAATATTTTAGCTACAGTGCTTACCGTAAAATTCAGTTTGAAAGATATTTTTTGCCCGATTTTTCCAATATATTAAAAAATGATATGTTGACAAAAAAAAAAAATTCATTCAATGGGGAAAATACTCGTTTAAGATAATAATTAAAAAGAATGTAAGCGTAATTAGCGTATTTTTGTTTGAATTAATAAAACGTTTCATATATTTAAGTTGTAATTTTTTCTTAAATTTTTCGTCCTCCTTTTCATTGTAACAAAAAATGGTCACCTTATTTATGGGGCTCTTTACATGTTACGATTTTTTTTCTTGCACATTTTGGGGCCCTGGAAGCTTGAGGGGCCTCGTATCATTGATCCAGACCCGGATACTTTCCTTGTGTGTGCTACTGCCACACAGGAATTTTTCAAGAGGGGCGGGGGATCCGGGGTTGAAAGTTCCCCATTCTTGTATCATACTATTTTTGATTTGGTCAATTTTCAGGAACAAAATACAGTAAAAAACTAATTATTGAATAAATAATTAGCATTAATTAATAAAATTAATCATTAATAACAAATATTTAATTAAATTTTACGTATTATATACTTAGAATAATAACCAATCGAGAAAAAATCAAGGGCTTTGGGGGGAGTCCGGGGCCCCCGGGCCCCCCCCCCCTTGTGTGCGCCGCTGCCTATCAGATATATATAATACAAGACATCTCCCTTACCGTATTATTACATTTTAATAGGAAAATTTTTTGACCTTCTTTCCATTTTTTATTTTATTCACATGTTTTAAATAGAGCAGAAGTTTGATTTGACGTCTCAGGATTCCAAATTGCGGCAATCGCCCAGTAAAATAAAAGGAAAAAAGTATTTTACACTAAATATGTAACGTTTAATTAAGATTATGGGCGGAAAGAAACAAACAAAACAAACCACAGTATTTTACACATACTCCAATGAATATCTTCTTTTACATGATTGAGTTTGGGATAAACTATCTTATATGTATACGCATTTTTTCCTAACATTGTTGCAACTAAGAGTAACCGAGCAATGGCAACATTCCTGGCATTCTGAGGTCATAAGAGGGGAAGGAGAGAAGTGACTTCCAGCGATGTGCTTGAATTCCTTACTAACTGTGTCACTGGTGAACAAGATGTATCACCGCGGGTGATTGTTGTTGTTCCGAGACGGTGAAATTCGGTAAAAAAAGAATCCTCTAAGTATCACATTGCGCACGTCTTTCAATTATTTCTTCCTAGTAAATGAATTTTCTTTCCGACGGACGGGAGAAAAGTCTTTGGTCCATGACAGAGGAGTCGGCAAAGTTTTAAGTGAAACAAGATAACTAAGGTATCAAAAAGCCATTTATGCGTATACGCATGCGCAGGTGCAGGAGGGGCATCCAGTCGCCGTTTACTATAAAGGTTGTCATGCTCCAATTAATAATTTTTGTAATAGTTAAATAAAGCTCTACACCAGTGCTTCTCAAACTTTCAATGTTTGCGACCCAATTTTCAATCATAATTTTTATCGCGCCCCCCATCGCACAATAATAATGTATTGAATTCAATAATAATGTACTTTGACACTAAAGCTACAATACGATTTTTTAATTATAAATCGTACTAACTATCAAGATAAGTATTAAATTTTGAATATAATTTTGTATATGGCAAGCGCATGGGGTAAATAAGTTTATATTATAACTTAGCCTATTAAATTGGTATTGAGGAATTAATGATGAAATATATTATGCAGTACAGATATATTTATATATAAGTGTACTATATCAGTGTAAATATGTATTTTATTTATTATATGTCAAAATGTATTTCTTTTATTTCCTTTTATTAAATTAATATTTTTTTAAATAATCTTTTATTTTCGACTTTTCGATATGCCATCACGCCCCCCAGGGGGTCGCGCCCCCACAGTTTGAGAAACACTGCTCTACACAAAGTAATATTTCAAAGAACCAAGAAAACTCGAAGATATTTTTATTTATTTATTTATTTATTTGCACAATGCAAGAACATTTATTGTTAAAATATCATAATATATAGAGAGAATTAAACCTTGAAACGTGTAAAAAAAAATTTCTTGTGCCAGTAATAAAGTAAATGATGGACATTCATCCGATATAGTGGTTAGCGGCGCTGACTGCTGTACCGTAGGGACTGGGTTCGAATCCCGGACAAGGCATGGAGGTTTGTAAATGTATTGTGCTTTTGAGGCAGGGGGTTTACTCTAAATAGCCGTCGAATCTCCTCTCGTGAGGTTGGTGGAAGGGGAAGAGAGGTGAGAGGCTCCTCACCACCCTCAGGGTCTTCTCCCTCAAAATTGGGGTGGAACCGAGCAAAATCATACGGTCACCTGTGTAGTGCTCAAAGCTACGGCTAACGACAGGAGCGCAAAAATCTAGCCCATTGCCGCGATGAATTTCACGGGTCTTAATCTGATGTTACTGTCGCTTAGGTGGCAATACAACAATTAGTAAATGATGTATATTAGAATTTCTTATATCCACGATAGCCTATTGTTTATCACTAACTCGGGTCCGGCGTATCATTCCGAGATTAGTGCCACTGAAGATCCGGCGTGTAGATGGGTTGACGCATTTTAAATCTGTCGTCGCTCAAAGTCCTCCCGTTGGTGTGGTGTGGTAGTTTTGAGAAGGGGATGCCAGATGAGGTGTCGTCCTCGTCAATTGACCAAGGCTCAAAATTACGAAGTCCGTCGACAATTGTCTTTCTGTTGCTTTATAGTGTGACGATAATACAATTCTATCTCTCTCTGTAAAATCTTCAAATAGTACTTTTACAATAAGAATCCTAATTTTTTTTAAAAGTTCTTTTTTAATCAATTCCCTTAAGTACGATCGGGTTTTCCAAAAAACTAACTTAAACCACGGCCAAAGAGCGTAGCAGTCAAGAGCCGCATTCAAGAAGGAATAATTAACTTAAGTACAAATTTTTAAAATTTGGTATTCAATTTTGTATCCACACAAAGAAAATAGAGTGAACATTTAATTGAAGAT